GCAATCAGCTGCCTCTATAGCTGTGCCTTTTGCACACTGAAAAGCCTTTGTCTATTCAGATTTTCCATGACACATAACATTTCATACCTCTGGTTATTCTGACTTCTGTTTATTGTGCATTTTCCTACTGCAGCCCTCTGAAGGTCACAGCATACCAGGTATTTACATAATGACACAATGATGCCTACTATCCTATTATTCTTTCTAATAATCCCTAATATTCTTTCCTTCCTGATGAATCAGTGTTTACAAAGAACTAGCCAGAGACAGAATGAGACTGAGTTCAAGAGTAAGACATCTCTATAAAGGTATCAAGATTTCCACGATGACTAGTAGATCAGAATGCCAAGCAGCTTTCTTAATTCCACCACTGACTTACCTTCACTATGTCAACAATTCAGACAACACAAACTTAAACTGCTTATATCAGCTGAATGTTAAGGTATTGACAGCATGAATGCTAATTTCATATTTGAATCCCTTTAGAATTCTTGGATGAAGAAAACCTGATCCTGGAACAATGTCACTGCTAGCAGCTTTTTTCAAAACAACTTTGATTTAAAACATTTCCTTAGATTAAAAACTGGCTGTTGTATCAGAGCATAAATTTCATGTCAACAAATAAAGATCTTTCATCAAATCTCATTCTCACAGCCATAAAAGAAAGAAATAAAATCTGCCACTTTTGATGTCTCCTTCTAAAGTAGAGAAAACAGATACGCATTTAAGATGTTTGATTTTAAAATAGTTTTTGTTCACAATCTTTAATAAAGTTGTGTTTGTTTTTTTAAAAAACACGTAACCACTTACATATTTCCTATTTTCCCTAGTTCAATAGTCCTGTCTTTAATAATCTTCACTTGCTTTTGAAACATACTGAGTTTTTCTGATTGCTGGTGCATACTCACTGCAAGCTTCTAGTATGCATCTTTAACCACACTGGATTGCCTGGAAACATTTTATCCCTTGACTGTATCTTTCCAATACCTTCCCCATCTTCTCAGAGTCTCATTTTTTGAAGCTAAAGTTTCCCACTCTCCTCTTTTATATAGACAGCAAACATCACTGTGTTAATATTTGCAGGAATAGAGAAATATTCCTTCTAATGAATATATTTCTGAATGTGTTAAGTATACAAAAAAATATACTTTTTTTTTTCTACAAAAGAAAGTATTGAATATATTTGAATAACGTGGCAGCCTGATACGGTGAAAAAAAAAATCAAGTAGTAAGAAAAAAGACCTGGCCTCTTTGCTACCTTGGTTTGTTTGTCAATTTTTTTTTTAATGTTTTTTTCATACAATCATAGAACAGCTTGAGTTGGAAGGAACACCACGGATCACCCAGTTCCAACCCCCCTGCCACAGGCAGGGCCACCAACTTCAGATCTGGTATTAGACCAGGCTGCCCAGGGCCCCATCCAATCTGACCCTGAACAATTCCAGGGACAGGGCATCCACAGCCTCTCTGGGCATCCTGTTGCAGTGCCTCCTGGTAAAGAGCTTCCCCTGACATCCAATCTCAACCTTCCCTCCCTGAGCTTTACCCTGAGGGTAAAGTCAAAAGTGATGAGGACCTTCCAAAATAAGGTTTTCTCAATGACACTAGATAAACACATCTAGATACAAATCTCGTCCCAACATTTCCAGTGAATATCCCTTGGAATTAGAAATGAAAATGCTTACCTGTGCGGGGCATGACCAAAAAAAAAAAAAAGAAAAAAAAAGAAAATCCGTTCTCAGAATGCTGTTGCAAAATTCATCTTCCTAGCAGGCCCATTTACTGGAGCTTCTTTCCACTGCTCTTGTGGCCTTCCCATCTCTTTGACACATCAGCTCTGCATTTCTCTGCATTTAATGAGCTTTTCTGCTCACTGTGTCATGCCATCTGACATCAAATGTCAACTTCCCCCCTCAATCTGCTGCTACATCAGCTTTAACTATCAGTTGCTGCATCATCAAGCATGAAACTGAGCATTTTTTAGAATATGAAGCATTCCCTTTTCCCTTACAGCTCATCTTCATTCTCCCTTAATTCTCCCTTAGTGTCCCTAAATCAATCCTATTAAAAGTTAACTTTGTGTACTTTGCTAATTCGTGGCATGCAAGACCTGCCTTATCATACGTTCACTCTTTTCTCTTTTTCTGTTAATAGACCCTACCATACACAGACTGGAATAAAGTACATCTACACAATGCCTAGACTTAAAAAAGAAAAATGCTGAGCTTCACACTGACCTTTTTCCTCACACTGCTATCATTACGTGACCTGGTTAATTTACAACTCAGATATTCTAAACCAACAATATCTTAACATTACAATGCAATCACTTTTGTAACAGAAGCATAGCTATTTGCTACTTCATATGCCTCAGCTTTGATAGCTCTATCAGGGCTATCCACAGATGGAAAGATGTAAGACACATGACTGCATAGGCATGTAAATATATATATATTTATGCACACACAATTTTTTTATTGGCTTAAACAAAAACATGCTCTACTTACACATTATCACCTCTCACAATGTATAATCCCAGCACTACTTGCTCAACTCCTTGTGAAGAACTGAACACTCGTTCATGGCTTTCGTCTAAAATCAAGTTAATGGTCTGATCAAAACCTTTCAGGGTTCCCTGAGGGGAAAAAAATAAGCACACAATAATAAAGTTCTCCAACTGCCTTTTAAATTTATATCTTCGCTCTCACAGATATCTTAAACAGCAAAGTGGCAATATTAAGATACTAGAGAACAGATGCTCTATTTAGTTTTTAATGTTAGTCTTACATAAAAACAGCTGGAGAAGAAAACTTTGAAAATGGTAATCAATTTAAGCAAGAAATATCTATATTTACTACTGAGTGTTCATACTAACAGCTACATTATTTAAAGAGGAAGTTTTATTTAGATCCACGAGACAACTAATTTTACAGCTTTTAGTCTTCCCTGTATGGGAATTTCATAGAATCATAGAATGGCCTGGGTTGAAAAGGACCACAATGATCATCTGGTTTCAACCTCCCTGCTATGTGCAGGGTTGCCAACCACCAGACCAGGCTGCCCAGAGCCACATCCAGCCTGGCCTTAAATGCCTCCAGGGATGGGGCATCCACAACCCCAACATCTCCAGAAATCCAATGTTAAAAATAAAGTCAAGAAACAGAAAAATTAGATTCTTACATGCTAAACAGCACTGAAACCATTTTTAACATGCAATTTTAAGTAGCGCCTCTTTAAAGGAGGTTATCTTGGTTCCACAACACTACTCAACAAAAGTGGAAGACACACAAAAGGAAGAATTTCTGTGCTGATTTAACAACAATTTGGAAAAATTATAAAAATCGATTTGTGTCATTTAGCAAATTATGAAATTTAAAGTCATTTTACTGAGTGTGGCTGGGCTGGACTTAACCTTCCTCATAGCAGTCCACAAAGGGCTGTGCACTGCACTTGGAGCTGTGAAAGAGCTGATACCACCTCAATGCTCTGGCTGTAGCTGAGCAGCACCAGCATCGCACCAATGCAGCACCCAAGCCACCCAAGGCCAGCAGGCCAGGGGCAGCAAGGCACAGGAGGGAACACAGCACTGAACCAAACTGAACACAGTTATCCCACACCAAGTGATGTTACACTGAGCTATACAAGCTGGGGAAGGGCAAGATAAGGAAGGCGTTTGTTGTGAAATTGTCTGTTCTCCCAAGAAACTGCTAAGTGCCTTGAGGCCCTGCTTTCCCCCCCAAAATAATATCTCACCACAATCATTCTTCCATCAGAAGTTATCACTGCAACAGTACCTGACAGAGCTCATTAAGGAAGGATTTAGAGATATACGAAATAGAATCATTAACATTTTCTGTAACATCTATGTGTAATAAGTTCAAAAAGTCAGAAAAGCCTGCCAGAGGCCTTTAAAAACAAAAAACAAACCCCTCTACATTTCATATGAACATTTGACAACAAGTCTTGACAACCTGCTTTAAAGTTTCACTTCTCCAGACATGCAGAATTGCATACAAACATGAACACTACAAAAGCATGCTACAGTTTAGAGTTTGAACTCCTTTTCCACTACTAACTGCACTACCTCAGAACAGGAACGAAAACGGTTTTATTAACAAGATGGACAGCCATTTCAGATAAGGAGCTTAAAAACAGTGCAGCACCGTGGATCCTGACTGCGACATTGCACACCCCTCCTTCTGAAGCTCTGATTTTCCCTGTCTTATCATTACCATTCATTATTATCAGTGATGCTGGCTTAACACGTTATTGTTTGTGAATAAAACTGAAAGCAACAGGTAAAACAAAGACACGAGAAAAACCTTGCAAGAGGAAGATTCTAAGAACACCAGCGCATGGCTTTTGAGAGAGCATGTGAAGCTGGCAGCTAAATACCCGCTATACACCCTGTGATGGGCCAGGCCCATTGCGGATCCCGCTCCTCACCACAGCATTACAAGTAACAAACAAGCGGGCAGCACTGAAGCCCACCAGGCCCTCTCAAACCCCCCATTCTGTCCGTCACGAACCACGACAGACCCGAGCAGCGCGATGAGCCACGGCCGCATGGTACCGTCAACCCGCACCCAGCCTCGCCCCCTGCAGAAGAAAGGCCCCTCCCCGCCGCCCCCACAGCTCCGCTCGGCAGAAGGATACGGTTGATGTAGTTCTCCAGGGCCGACGTCATGGCGGCGGCTCCCGCGCTTCGCCTCGCACCGGCAGCGACGTTCCCGGCACCGATTGGAGAACTACTTCCGGTACCGCTCGCAGAACTACTTCCAGCACCGCTTCCGTCGTGCGCCGATGACGTTTCGCCCGCCGCGCATGCGCATGACCCCTGCAGGAGGGCGGGAAGAGCCCTCTTTGGCCACTGCGCACGCGCGGCGCCGCGGCGGGACTGAGTTTCAAACGACGCGCGGGAGAGGGGCGAGCGGGTTGTACCAAGTGCAGCGCGCTGAGGGGGGTCTGACTGTGTCTCCCCTTGGCAGCACGTGGCTCCTTCCATAGAGAGGCGGGTGGGGGCGGAGCAGTGCTACTGCGCCTGCGCGCTAAGGCGAGCTTCTGGCCGCGCCTGAGGGGCATCGCGGGGAGCCTGGGGTGTGTGGTGGGTTGGGGTGGTGAATGTCTGTCCTGAAGCACCGCTGTTACTGATTAGGTTGATTTTTGGTGGTTTCATTTCTACGCCTCAAGAAGTCTATAATTGCAATACGGTCTGTCTGTTAATAATTGGAAAGTATTGTCAGGTGTTTAAAATATAAACTGGATATTCGGTTGTCTGTTTTATTCCCCGTGCTGTAGGTGGAACTTTGAATAACTGTGTCGTCCTGTGTTCTCGCTGAGCGATGGAATCCTATTACAAAGAAAGATCCTGGAGCAAAAGTTGCAGGCACAACCTGGGAGAAATCAGCATAGCTTAGCACGTCTCCATCCTGTGTCCCCTGACTTCTGCATATCTGCCTTCCAGCAGTAAACATGTGCTGTGGATTTAGTTTTCTTTAATAAAAACAAGCCGTTCTCTTACACCGTATTTGGGCACAGAGACCTCCCTGTGCCTTTCCAGTACTTGGGGGGAGCTTATGAAAAGGAGGAGGAAACAGAATTCCTGACTTCACCTGCCCAGGCTCTTCTCAGATTTTTCTTATAGATAAGCAGCTCTGCCTGCCTTCTCAAAATTCTCATTCAGGTTCAGCTTTCTGCTTGAAGTCGCTACTTACTGTCAGTCTCCTGCATATTAATCTTCCACGTGGAAACAGAAAGATCTGATCTGACACCATCATCTTTTTGAAGAAATCAGAGGTTCCCCACCTCTCTTACTAGCAGGTTTTGACATGACGTTATAACCTGGCTATTTGGTTGAAGCTGTGCCTCAAACGGAGGGCACGTAATTGAATTAGCTGGCATGAGGCCAGCGAGAATCTGAAACTGTGGTTTAGGTGCTTGTCCAGCAGAGGGAAGTCGTAGCCTCTGGTTGTATTATAACCTGCTCTTTCAGAACAGAAATCCAGTGGCTTTAAGATGCAGTGAGTAAGCAGTCTTGACCATCTGTTTTCTCTCACTGATCAGGATCCTTGAGTCCTGATTTTAGGTGTAGAAATTCGGTACTTGTGTTTTAGGATGTCATTCCACACTTCTTTACAGAGAAAAAATAATTTGTTTTCTACCATCAGATGAGGTGCATTTTGCACTGAAGCTCTACTTTTCTCTCCGGTGGCTATAAAAGGAACCTAGGTGACTAGCTCAGACACAGGAATTTCACAGGTCAACACTTACATTAAGCCATACAAATTTTAATCCTGTTGGCCATAGCTGCCAACACAACACTGGTGTTAGGATGAGAAACATCTATCTTGCTACCCTCTTGCCTGTTTCTTCCACTGAGTTGCTGCAGACTGACAATTAGGACATAGCAAATAACTTAATATGGTCATTATGCTCTCAGATAATTGAAGAAACAAAACATCTTTGTAGCAAGGCTCTCCCTTTCCCTTGCCTAGCATATCACTTGATAATAGCATTTACTCCTGTAATGAAAACCATTTTTTTTCTGCAATTGACTCTCTGTACTTCAAGGTTTCCGTGGCAAGCGATTGCTGTATTTTATGCTTTCCACAGAAAATATAACCAACTAATCATGCCCTGGAGTGTCTCTGCTTACTTTCCTGCTTCCTCATATTCTGCCAGGGCAGGAAGGAAAGCCTGCAGTGATAGTTGTAGGGTGTATTTGCAAGCAGTTACTGCGTGTAAACTTGTTATCTAGCCTTGAGCTGACAAAACAGATGAGTGGTTGCTGCTGCCACTGTGTATTGTTTCTCTCTTCTACATTTTCTCAAATACAACAGCTTCTTGTGGCTTTGCTTTCCTTAGTTATCAAGAAATAGGTATGTTTTATAGACCTAGTCATGCTAAAGACTGAAGTGGCTTTGTGGAGGTGTTGGGGAATGAAAGGCCTGCCCAGTACCACTCTACCAAGCTCAAACCTTGTTGGATCTGGTGGAGAAAGGTACACCGCCTACTCTTCAGGCTTCCTTGAAAGCTGAACCCCTCTAATGTAATGCTCAGACTGTGAGGGGATTTAAGAAATTTCTTGTAACAAATCCTCCCAAATTGGCAACATCTGTCTGTCTGCTCAGCACTAATTGCATCCAGAAAAAAATTGCACATGAGGCTGGAAATAATGGAGTGGTGCATACTGGAGAAGAGGAAGCAGATAGCACATCCTGCAGAAGAAAACTAAGCATCCCCAAATCTCATGCATATCATTACTTAATACATTTGACAGCCTTTCTCATATTTTCTGGGACTCAAAGATTTAAACATCTTTGATTTTTATCTACATTCCGAGAATGTCCCTGGCCTAACCCTTTATTTCTTCTTTAGTTTATACACACCCAAGCTGACTAAACATGACTGATGTCCACTTGTGTCTTCAGGATAAACAGAGACGTCCCTTCACCTTGGCTTCGTTCCTCTGAGTCTGTAGAAACACTGGGGATACAACATCAGCAGTGCAAGGACACAGATTGTAGCTGTTGGCTGGGGAAAACCAGAAAGATCTTGCTCGCCTCATGCATGGCTAGCTGTGATCTAAGTCGAGACATGCTTCATGTTGATACTTTTATATCAGGTGGCTGGTTTTTGCAACAAGACAACTGGAAAATATTTTAAAAGGATCGCAGCCTGAAAATTGCCAGTATACACAGAATATAAGTTACAGCGCATCAGAAGCAAACCTGTCACATAAGCAGTCCCAAAGTGCTTTTTATTTATTTTTATAAACAGTTAGCAAGCACCTGATATACATTTTGTTTGTTGTGATAGCAACTGCTGCACTCATAGGAAACATTATAAAAAAACCCTCATTTTACTCAGATCTCCTTTATATTAGAAAGTGGGTATTTTTCCAGCAATTTTTGCTAACACACAAAGTACGATACCAGTCTTAATGACTTTACAGCTTCCCCACTTAATATGCTAGCAGAAAAAAACAACAGTGCATATTTCTGTTTGCAAGAAAACAAACTCTTATCTACTTTCTTTATTTTTTTTTCTTCCCTGAAGAAACTGAAAACATCTGTAGAAAATCAGTACTATTTTCCATTTAGATGGTAATTTTAGGGGATGTTGTGAACTATTGGTAGAAAAAATGTGATTGCTAATGGGTTATGTACCTACAGCTACAGAATTATAGAGCAAGTAGACTGTTGTTTTCATCTACTCTAGGCAGAGTACTAAGACAATGCTATTGTACATAAAATGAGTAATGTGCTTCAAGTAACTGACATTTACCAGCATGTCAAGTTCATCATTTTTACAGTCGTAGCTGAAATTGCATTTGCTAAATTGCTCTTGTGAAGCAGGCTTTTCATTCTGATACATTCCCTCGTTCTCAAAGTATAATTTGTCTTCTTGTAAAAGCACTGATCTTAATCCTTAGCCTCTGTTAAGATTACTAGATCTTCCAGTTTTAAGTTTAAGGCTCTTTATCTTAACACTCCCTGTGGTGATGCCTATTTGACTTGTTCTGTTCCTTGTTTCATGTTCAGGGATGCCTTACACACTGCCTACTGTCAGATATAATGTATATTGGACCAAAAATTCAGTATAATTCTGCATTGTAACTTAGATGGTATCATTATTTTGTGAAGTAAGGTTATTCACTGTACCACAGAGCAATCTTCTGGTACCAGGACCTTAAAAGCGATTATGGAAGTAGAGAAAGAACATTTTGTGAATTTGATGTTGCACAAAACAGGTGCTGAATTCCTTCTTGTTAGAAAAATATAAATGAAAAATGATCAACAGAAGAGGAGGATAAGTAGGAGAAGCTGGCGTTCCTTTAACAGGCACTGAACTGTTTTATCTAACAAAACACAAAAGAACAAAGGGCATGGAGGAAGCTATTTTTTATCACTAGACTGTGCTCTGAAAGGCAAAACTCGAACACAAGCAACCAATTGCACCAACAGCAATGAAAAGATGTGGCACATGAGGACGGCAGATGCTATGCTGTCTTCATAGCCTTGAAGAGGGCTGTCTGTTTTGTCATCATTCCTAGCTTAGGACTTTCTGAGCTACTGCTCCAGCTGGATATTTTCTCATACCCCAAAATCTCCTTGGAAATGGCAACTGGCATCTTTGTTCACTGCCAAGGTGTGTGCTGGTGCTTCCATGTGGTACTTTCAGGTACTTTCTTGACATCCTCAGTGTTTCTGCTGGCATCAAGATTTTGTATAATTATAGGTCTTTTTTAGCTTAGTGTTCAAATATTGAGGGCAGTCAGCTGGCATCAGTGTTGGGCCGAGTGTGAGGCCTTTTGTTGTGAATAGGATTCCTGTACATTCTTTACACGGGGACCTGGGCTGCAGCCAGCACAAGGAGATCTGAAGGAGAGGGAGGACTGCAGCTCCAGAAAATGGTGGGGTAAGAATGGCTGGCAGAAGAAGACACTTCTAAAAAAAAAACAGGCAGACAGACATACACACATATACATGCACACACACAAAGAAACAACAGGGCTTTGGGATGTGAAAAGATATATCTCTTGTCTGAAGAGACACGGGTAAAGCTTTTTGTTTGAAACAGATTTGCTTTCCAGCAAGAAGTTGTCTTCTGTTCACAATTATGGTGTTTTTTTTTTTCCTTTTAGGCTCTGGTAGAATTGTTCTTGGGTTCCTGTGATCATGTGTTTGAGGCCTAATTGCCACTCTGGAGTGATGTGTTGCTCTGAAATTTCTGGGGCACTTGGGTGAGCACGTCTAATGTCTGAATGTTCAAGTTAGTTTTGCAAGTGAACAGTGCCTGAGAAGTGGTGAGGAAAAGCATAAAAGGCTTTCAGACATGTCCTTGTGTTAGAGTGCACACATAACTAGCTGGGATGTGGAAGAGATACCACCACTTGGCCAGCACTGAACCTGAGAGAAGAGCTGTATTGTAGAGAGCATGGTGCTATCCACTGGTAACTGCTGCCTTTTCATTATCAACCACTGTGCTATTGCATTATTGATTAATGCTGTTGAAAGCTATTCCTGCTGGTCCCTTATGTTCTTACTGAAAACCACTTAATGTATCAGCCACATCTAATTGAATAGCAAGAAGAGTGAGTGAAATGTCATTCATCAGCACTCCTTCCCTTTATAGGCATTGGCAAAAGTATGTATGTCATTGAATATTGAAAGCATCCTGAAGGCATCAAATTTCCAGATACAATCCTGACTTGTTAATATTTTATTCAACTAATGCTAGAAATGCTGCTACTACTAATGCCGCTCTGGACTTACATGCTTCACTCACTGTAGGGACTAAAAGTATTCTGTACATCTGAAGTATTACCATATCTCAGAATGATTGGTAAAGCATTACTCCAGTCGGTTACTAAATCTGTAAGTTAAATCACATAGACATTCACTGAAGTTGCAGAATTTCTTCTGAAGTCAGTGGTGGAACTGCAAATAGAAATTAGCTAATTTTTAAATATTGGTATTAGAAATAACACCAAAAGAGTTTAGTCAGTGTCAGGACAGGTATATACAAAAAAAGACCAAAAGTCTTGGCTGCAGGGTACAGACAGGAAAATTGGTTTGCTAAAGCTGCTGTGTACCAGCAGTAGAAACCAAATTCAGATTTCTAGACTGTATGCAGTTTGTTATAGTTTATTTTGCAATGCACTTGATGCTTGAGGAAGGTTCTCCTAGTTCCCCTTTGCTGTATATGTGATAATGAACATGTATGAACATCTCCCATCTGGCCTCTTCCACTTTCCAGAGACTCCATTTACTTTGATATCCACATTCATTTCATTCTCTTTCAGTCCCTGAGCAGAAGTTCCAGAGTGGGATGTGGACCTCAGTACACCACCACACATGAGGTAAAGCACTGTTATCATTTGCCTCACATGCTTGTCTTTGAATTAAATTTAAAAATAATAATAAAATGGAAAAAGAAATGGAGGATTAAATGCACCTGGAACAAGATAGTTAGAATGGAAAGAGTACTCGTTGCCATTCTTGTTGACCCTGACATGATATATTAGGGTGTTTATATATCTTTTATAAAGTGGTCTGTCTTTTTTTATGGCAGGTAAGTGATGAGGCAGGTGTGGAAGTTAGCTGTCTCCTGAGCAAAACAGGCTGTCACAAACTGAAGCACAAGATCAAGATAAGACTGTCATTGTGCAAGTCTCTGCTGTCCTGGAGCTAATGAGCACAATCTGTTTTTGCAAATGATTTCATACTTTTGTTCTTTATTATGAACATACACAGCACTTAAGTGTTTTCAGTATTGGCTGACTCCAGTATTTTGTAGTCACGATTGTGGTATTTAAACAGGAGGTGATCTGTTCTGCACATGGAAAAGGGGCTGTGTTACAGAGGAAATAATAAAGTGTTGCTGGGTTTTGGCAAGAGGGTGTTATGACTGTTTTCAAAGAATATACCCAATGTTCTTTATTTTCAGTACAAATCTATGGTGATTTGAATCTGATTTCTGGTCTCTACCTGGGGAGCATTATGACTGTGTTAGAAATGCAAGCATAATATTAAATTGGAAAGCTTTTACATATATGCAGGTTTGTCTGTTTCTTTTGTAGCTGCTATATAATACTGGTCCCCTGTTTCAACCTAAGAGCTGTGCTTAATGAGATGAAATGAGCAGTACCACTTGAGTAGGAACTATTGTAAATAATGGAGACCTTTTTATAAAACTTCATGATATTGTTAATACCCAAAATGCACTCAGTATGACAAGCATCACATTGCCTTTGATTAAACACAAAACGCCTTTCAAAGATTTAGTCTGGTGGCTGTTTTTTAAATGCATTTCAAGACTTTCTGAAAATTTTGAAATATAAACACAATGTGTTTGTATTCTGAAAATGTGTTTCATGAGGGACACCTAATTGTCTTCAGTTCCCAGAGAAAGCCAAGCTGGTAACTTATCCCCAGTCACTGGAAGAAAACTTGCTTAGAGACTTGAATACAGACTTTCTTTTTCTGTTGCACCACTCCTGAATTATTTTTACAGGAAGGTTTATGTCTGGGATATATACATACCTAGCTGAAAGGTAGGATAAACTCTTGAAACATGCATTACTTATATCTCAGGGATAAAATCTTTCCAGGAAAATGCCTAGGTTTAGAAACTGTGCATCCTGGGACCACATTTGTATATATTGTAGCACACAATGCCAAGTATTATGCTAGGTTTTCTGAAGCAGGTCTATTTTTCAGTTTGAAGCATTATTGTGCTAAATTGGTGATTAATCTGTAATGTTCCAGCTGAAGAAAGCCTGAGTTCAGAAGGGTACAATTGCTGCTCTGGGTTTAGACGTAGTACAGCAAGGGGCCTCTGTGCAATGCAAGGATTCCAAAGGCAAATATTTGAACACAGAAATAAAAGAGCGTGAAGGACTCTGGCAAGAAGGTTAGACCAGCTATTGCATTTGAACAATGCTAGTGCATTGGATTTAGGAGATGGGTGGAGTAGAACCCTAATGTATTATATCAGATCAGGTATTTTTTTCCTCATTTAGTTCTTTACCATTTTTTCCCCACCTTGTTAGCATGGCTTGCAGAACAGTCTATTACAGTATGTCAGAAGCAAGCAAGTATTGTAAAGCAAGATCCATAGAGCAACTGAGAAAAGGATGCAGCAGCTTGTCTGTCAGGATGACAATGTCCTGACAGAGGAAATTGCAAGAGGGCAGAGGCTTCCATTTCCTCCTACATTTTATCAGGATCCACAGTCTTTTGTGTAACACGGTGCTGTCCTCAAAATGAGAGTGGATCTCTATAACATCTCACAGTCTGAGAAGGATCGCTGTCTAGGATTGCAGGAGAAGAGCATTTGGGGTTTACACAAAAGTTACTGTAAAACTGGTTGGAGACCAGACCCACTTGTGTGTTCGAGGGAAGCAACTGGGAAAAAGAGGATCTGGGGGAAACTACTGGAGGGATCAAGTGGAGCCCAAATCCTAGACTCAGCTAAAGCCATTTCTTTCCATTTTTCTTGGCAGCTTGCATCTATGCAGTGTAGGCCTGATTCTGATTCTGTAAAGTCAGTGTTTCAGTTTAGCCATCCATTCTTCTCAGCCTCCACAAGAGACCTGTTTCAGTGTCCAATTGTACTGAAGATGTAGAGAGTGAGTTGCAGAGATTGCACATGATGTACAAATAAATAGGGAATTTTCATCTGCTGGCTTTTTACATTTTTTCTCACTCTAAGCTCACAAAATGATGGAAAATCAGACACTTTGTGTTTGGAATACTCACCATCCCTCTTGTATATCTGTCCTATAAGATGGACCTTTTCTTCATCTAGTTTTCTTGCTGTGGTTGTCTGACCATGAAATCTTTGAACTGAGATTGTCTATAATATATTGCGTTTGGGAAAGAAACATGTGAACTGTAACTAGGCAGTCTGGATGAGGAGAGGAGGTACTGCTTGGTTTCTTCACCAGGCTCCTGAGGAAAACCCCCTTCATGAAGAGTTGAAGAATGAAAGCAAAGAGTTTTATGAAATATGCATCTTGCAAACAATAAGTTGATCACAGTATCACTTCAAGCTTTGCCACACGAAACCTCACCACTTCCACATGATTAATTGCTGCATGTCATATCTCACATAAAAGCCAGTAATGCATAGATATATTTATACAAGGTGTGGCAGAGTATATAGGCATATCAGTACACTTACATGTAATGCAACTTTCAATATACAGGAAGGCTTCCTGGTGAGATCTGAGCTGTCCTTTACAAAGTGAGAGAGAACATTTTGTCTTAAGGTGAGCTAATGATATTTTTAACATTCATTTGAGTCTGGGGTGGCCTCATTAACAGGCGCTGCTTGCTATCTAGAGAGAGGTGCCTGCAGCTGGCATCAACGGGAGCACAGGCCTTTTCTGTGGTGGTGAAAGTGAGGAGATTGGGGGAATGAGAATTGACATCACCTCCAGAATATATTATGAATTAATAATTCTCTTGAGAGAGGATGAGCAGGGGTTAGAGTGAAGACGAGAAGAACAAAGCAAAAGAGGCTATAGAGGAAAGAATTAACCCGAGCAATTATAAGCAAATAATAAAGAACAGAGGAAGCATGCATTCCCTGGCTGAGGTCTTTAGGTTTGCTTTTGCAGGATATGATGAACTGGCCTAAGGACAGCATTGTGAGCTCCACAGTAAAGGCACTGGCTTGACAGTTTAATAGAATATAGGAAGCTTTCTGAATGGAATCTGAAGATAGATAAATATTAACATAGTCGTCGTCTGTTCAGCCATTTTGTCAACCTTTGTTTGTATTCAGAAACTTTAAATGAGAAATAGAAGGCCATTTATAGGCACCATTTCCTGCCACCAGATGGGTCCCACCAGGGGTAGTATGGGTGTTAGGAGTTGTGAAAAAGTCGGTGTGATGATTGAACCCTAAAGGAATCTAACACTCCCTCGCATTTCCCCCTCCCCACCACTTTCAATAAGTGAACACACAAGAGCTGTTTGGAAAACAATCAGTTTAAAATAAAACTTAATTTCGTTGTTATATAAATGCTAAGTGACAGCTATAAAGAAGCAGACTGTGTGGTGGTGGAGCTGTTGTGTCCTTTCAGGAATGTTTAATAAAATTTCATTAAAGAAAATACAAAATCTCTTAATAACAAGTCTAATCTAAAAACTTTCCACTGCAACTTGTCATGATTTATGTTAAGACTGTCATTGTTGTCACCAAAATCTGTTGGCTGCCATAGGTATAATGTTTGTCAGTACTCAGATTCACCAAGTCTTTGGATATCAACAGGAAACAATATGTAAACCTGATTTTTATTGCTTTAATCTTTACTTGGTGGACTTCATTGATACAATCACCGTGTAGGCACATTTTACAGGCACTGCTCATTTCTTATCCAGGATTATGATTATCCCTAAAAATAAAAGTAGATGTTATGCTATTAATTTACGTATTTTAGGAAAAGATCAAAGGCACATAACCTTATGTGTAATTATTTCATTTAATGATACAGTTCTACATCTACATCTGCAAAGAAATGTACTAACAATGACTAATTAATCCTTAAAGCATCTCTTTGAAATAGGTAGATGGACATAATTAATCCAGTCTAACCAATTTCTTGCCCTAGGCAATAGATTGAGTCAATATTTAAGCCAAGATTAAAGCTCAGATACGTCAAAACCTTACTCTGTGTCCAGTACACAGAGTAATGTGTAAGAACTAGCAGTTCCCAGATTTCCTTACCCGTACTTTGCTGTAATAATTTAGACTGACACACGTTTTGACCCGCACCAAACCCACATTGTCTGTTGTCTGTCAGAATGATTCCCCTGTGTCTTCCTCTCAAAATCTCCTCCCATTCCAGCCAATCAAGGTATGAAAGGTCTAACTTTTCCCTTCTTGGATCCAGTTTTCACTTCCTTGTGCCAATCACTTCCTGACTAGCATTTTACACCAGCAGACTTCCTCCCACAGGCTCCCTGTAATTCAGGTGTCATTGTTTCTCTTTGGGGCCCCAGTTCTGTGCTTTACATGCTCCCCAAGGGGAACCACCTATCTGTTCCCCTACTCCTGACTGCCTTCAGCTCATTACCAGGGAGCTGCTCTGCTGTAGGCATCAGGAAGGAAGCACTGCTAGAGCTGATATAAGCTGCATCGTACATACCAGAAGCATTAAGTACGGAGACAATTCAAGGAAAGCTTTTCACAGTTAAATAGCAGCCACTGTTCTCATAGATCATGGCCCAAATCAAGATGCAGCCCATGGCCCACATGTCTCTTGCTGTAGGTAGAGATTCATGAAATATTTGCAGCATTTTGTGAGTTACAGAAGCACTTTATGAGAGCAGGGGTAGGCGTTGTTATTCAGGTAGTACGGAAGGCTAATGAAGTTTGTGAAGAGAAGAATAAGGAGAAGCTGGTGTTGTAACCAAGAATACTGCTTTCCTTGAAATAGTCTAGTGGCAGTATGAACTAGGGTGACATGGTTCTGACGCCAGTGAGCAGCAGAGAATGCAAAGTGACAGCAGCACTATGATAAAGTCCCAAATTGATAGAAGAAACTAATGTAATTGCACCAGAACCTGAGAAATAGCACCAGAACCTGGATTTCCCACACTGGCAGTGCTTAAGACCTGATCAAATCTTACCTATAGCTATAGCTTTTCTTACTTGATAGGAAACAGAGTTAATGTGATATAATGTGATATATCCCATAGCTGTTGATAACCACCGTGTTTTTATTTGTGCTCTGATATAATATGTCCAAGAGATATGCACTCTGACTGTAGGGATTCTTCTCACCGAGAACTTGGTGAATGGACCAGAATTATTCCTACAGGCAGCCAAGTTGGCTGCTGAGTGTCATTTGGTCTCAGCTGACATGCCATACAAGTTGATGTGACGCACTATCATTGTACTCATTATTTCCTTTACTCTATAGGAAAACTTACATCTTCATGTGATTGCAGGAGAGGGGAAAGAAGACATGTGGAGGACATGAATTTTCCCAGCAATTTATCACCATATATAAGGATATACTTTTAATGGCTGCATAAATTTTGATTCATTTCAACTTTCTCCCAAGGTGTGATTTTCTATTGATAAGATTGCGTAGCTACATGTTAGTTTTAGAAAAGCAGTTGATAGTCTGCCCCATCCTCTCAGGCATTCTGCTGCTGACTCAAATGGTTGATGTCTTCCTAAAATGTGTATGTAGCCTGTTTTAACCAGGAATTGATTGGGTTTGACTAGATAGAACAGTCTATGGTGCA